AAAAAAAACTGGTTGAGGTTTTACCAGAAATCGTTATGGACATAATGATGATTTCCATAACCGTACATCGTAATTTGCGAATTATTTCTCATAGCGAAGTAAGTTTTTACGTTAAAATACGAGTGTTTTTCCTTGTATATGCAACACTAAAGCCATACTTTGAGTGTTTTTCTGACGTATACAAACAAATGTTAAAGCCATACTTTGAGTAGGTTCCGCCGTATGCAAACAAATGTGCAGGCTTCTCGCTCTCTAAACCCTGTGATCATTGAGTAGTACAAGATCGCCTCCTGATTGCCACCTTGTACCTGACGCAAGACTGTCCATTGCAGCGTGTCATGCTGGCGTTTGCATACACACCATCAGCTTTTTGAGGTCTATCCATATAATGAAGGACACAATCATTGCATGTGGGGAGCGACGATTTGATCGCAATGACTTGCGTGTATCATGCGACCAGCTCCTGCATGCCTGTTTTTTATTTTTATTTTTGTCGCATTGAAATGCATGCAAGTTTTTATTTTTATTTTGTCGGATTGAAATTCATGCCAGTTTTTTTTGTCGCATTGAAATTCATGCCAGTTTTTTTTGTCGCATTGGAATAACGTCAATAAGCATGATTTGCTCGTTATATTACAATGAGTTGTTGATCCTATGAATTAAATTTGTTTTCAAACTACATGAATGTTTTATACAGATTATTTTCACTTTAAAAAAAATGACTCGGCTATCTAGTCAGAATTCGACGTGTAATCTTGTGTAGTTCGACGATAAACTATTGAATTAATCGCTGCCGCGAAAGATTAATCTGTTCCATATAAATTGGAATTACCTGCTATGCATAGTTCATTCGAAAAATTATTACAGCCTGCGAAAAATAAAAAATAAATTAAAATTTTCGTTGTATTTTGTAGGGAATTTGCTGTTTTTGCGTTCTTTAAATATTACAATATTTTCAAAGATTAATCTTAATTTTATCAACTAGAGGTTTTTACAAAATTTTAAGTATTTTTAGTTCTTAGAACTTCTTCATTATTTTAAAAATATTTGCAGGCCTGGCTCTGAATTTCTCAGGCCGTGTTCGTTGTCATTGGTGGCTAGAATTTCTTCCAAGATGTCCAGTCGTCCGTTGAGGGAAAATTTCGTGCGACTTGTGGCCAGGCTGGCTTTATTTTACGCAGTCACGGGAAGGGATCACATAATTTTTACTTGCCGATGCCTCGATGTCGAACGGACTCTTGGGTTCTGGTCTCATTGGTTGATTTTTCATGGGTTGTGGTGCTCAAGATGAAATTAATTCCAAGGCTTAATTTCTTCTGGATTTGGAATTACGGAAACACCTTTTTAGTTAATACAAGCTTAATACGTCTGGAGTTTGAAACGTTTGACTCTATGCGCAATGTAATTTTTATTTCAATTTTATCATCTAATTTGGTGTTATCATATATTTTTGTTCTTGTGATATTTGATTTTTATGAATAACGTGCAACCATCATTGTCCTGTACCTAATTAGCAGCCTTAGCTTTTGGAAATTACATATCTTTATGAAGACACTATAGTTCCATCGTCCCTCTGGTTTCATGTGTTAAAACCCAGAAATTCGAACTGATTCTGGTTAAAATGCTGTGTAATATCTTCAGCTTGCCATCAGCAATTTACGGGTCGCCAGTGGTCAATAAAAAATATTTTTGGTAGCTCTTTTCCGCCTCGCTTGCTTCTTCATAGTTTGTGAGACTAGTATAAACAAATTATTTGTCAGTTATCTGATTTTCAGTTATTTGAGAAGAAGTTTGAAGTTGTCTCAGTTCCACAAGGTCATTGTGTGGAGCAGGCAAACTGCAGCCGTGTAACCGCATCCTGCATGTGGGTGCTCCGCTCTCAGCCCAAAATAATTGATCATAGAAATACGCTGTCCTGCAGTCACAGTTTCCTATGAGCCAGCACACTATTTGACTTCCAGATATTGCACCCCACATACTTTAATATTTTTTCTGATATTGCTTCTGGACAAGCTAGTATGCAATAATTTTTCCGTTTCTTGACAGTTTAATTATTATTCTTGCAGCTGTCGTGGCTGCTACGGTCTATTATACTTGTTATATTTCTCGACCCTTCACTGCTCTGATATGTGTTTTTCTCACCGCGCAGCCATAGCATGAGTTACGATGTGGTCTCTTAATGTCAAGTTCACTTACTAAGTTTATATTCGTTTGGCTTACCTTGAGATATATTTGCTTTATTATTATGTCGCGTGTCTCGGAAATGTTCCGGTTACTTTTCTCGAGAAATTAGAGTTTCCAGGATCTCTATTAATTTCTGAACTCAATGAATAGGACTATCGTTTAAAATAAAGATTAGTTTTTTTTCCCACGTGTAGCTGTCACCTAGAACTGTGTGTGGCTTGGATCACCAACGATTCATTATTGCACTATCATCTTTAATTCTCGTTAATTAAATCGAACTTCTTCCAAACAAATCGTTCCAAAAGGTGGAATTTCAATTATTTAACACCATGTTTATAATCGCTGCAAACTTAGATTTATTTAGTTGTGCTTGTACAATTTTTTATGAACTCAAATACGTTATAGTGAATGGTAAGAAAAGAAGGTTAATAATTTGTTATCGTTTCCAGTAAGCACCAATCATCATAAAACTCTCATATTGTTGTCATTCGGACAGATATCTGTCTTAGCTGGGTTTTTCGAGAGTAATTATTTTCTCTTGTATTTGCTTTTAATTTCGTTACTGTTGCTGGTTGTTCTCGTTTTCGTTTGGTTCGCCTGCAGTGCAAGATTGATTGCCGTTCCGGACAATCAATTTTTTCACGCACCGCGGTCACCTTGTGTCATTTTGTCCCGAACGACAACCGCCTCGGAGAGCTGCTCCATTGAACAAAGTTCTCCTACATATACCATTATTTATTTGTTGACTATATATGGTGCTTTATAGTCACATGTTCGCACCGCGGTCACCTTGTGTCATTTTGTCCCGAACGACAACCGCCTCAGAGAACTGCTCCATTGAACAAAGTTCTCCTGCATATACCATTATTTATTTGTTGATTATGGTGCTTTATAGTCACATGTTCGCATCGCGGTCACCTTGTGTCATTTTGTCCCGAACGACAACCGTCTAAGAACTGCTCCATTGAACAAAGTTCTCCTGCATATACCATGATTTATTTGTTGACTATGGTGCTTTATAGTCACATGCTCGCTGCACTCGGACAAAACTGGTCATTGTGGCCGAAACTATCAATACTCTCTGAGAATAATTTTCTCGGCTCTCCGACTCTAATTGATGTTAGATCTTCGATCGCGCTTATGCAAACGCTTAAACAGTATAAATAAAAAGAGTTTAACACTTTTATTTGGCTGCTGTTTTGTTGAAAGTAGCCATACATTTTATTTTTGGCACCCTTGTTGTTGACAATGGTTGGACAGGACAATAGCTTGTTATTTTTGAACTGCCTCTTGCAGATGACCTCTGCGGGAGCAATTGTAGATTGTACCTTAACAATGGCGACCGCACAATAGCTGAAGATTGAGTGAGACCTTCGCACTGTGGGGTCATCTCATATATTATAACTTTTACTGAAAGCGCGTAAGATAGCAAAATTTATTTGATCATCATTCGAAGAATTAAAAAAAAAAATTTTTGCTTAATGAATTGTCTTTTGTTTCTGACCACTGTAGCTAGCGTCTCTGACTTTGATGCAGGAGCATGCAGAGTTAAAAAAATCTAATCTGTTTTGTTGTATATATATATTTTTTTACTGCAGCACCTTTCATTTTAAATCAATTCTTTTGAATGTATGAAGGGAATTTAAAATTGCTTTTAATATTTAAAGTAATTGTGTTCGTACTTCTCTCATTGGAATTGCAGACTTATTAATTCTATCCCTGTTCATAATTGAAGCATGTTCAATTTTTGGACGTTCAAGTCGGAATATTATGATGAATCTTTTGAGTGTATTAGTTAAACCAGAACATAAATTGGAACTGCGTTTCAAAATGTATTTTTGGGGCAATTTTGTTTTGTACTGACCTATTAGCAAAGTTCAGATACATACGTTGATGTTTTTTTTTTTTTTATTTGATTTAACAACTTTTTTATTTAATAATGAAAGTAAAATGTCTTTGAAGTTTCGTGTTGTTTAGTTTCTTTCTAAATGCATCGCTAGTCCCTTAATTCACTTCTATTTACTTACGCGCACTTCATAGAGGTACTCTTTTATAGGCGTACTCTCTTCCACAAATATCACCTAATTACAAAGGTAATAATGCATAACTTATTCCATTCCCTAGAGAACTGGAAAACTGGTATTTCGTCCCACAGAGCTTTTGTGTGAGGGTTGGTTGCGCTGTATATAATTACTTCCATGCCACGCATTGAAATGTTAAACCCAGAATTTGCATGAAATTTCGTTGGTTTGTTCGAGTGCTAAGAACTTAAACGAGCTCGTTCACCAAATTGTGAACGTTTCAAGGCACAGGAAAACTATCGTACATTTTTTGAAGAGCGATTTTTGAAATATATTTTTCATTTACTCCATACAGGAACATATTGAACTATGAAACGACACCTAGAGGCTTACAGGTCGCGAATAATTGCCTGCACATTTCCGTGATTTTTTTTTAGTTTGATCAAATGTGACCTGCGGTGACAAGAAATAAGGAAGTGTGACCATGTGGCTCACGTTTGATGACGTGTAAAGGGTACTTTTTCTTTCTTTTGATCCGCACATTTTTGGCCTAGGAAAATGGCTAGAAATGCACATGAAATGATGATTTAAGTGTAATGACTAAAGAACAATTCCACAAGAATGGTTTCTATTTTATTTCTGCCTTTATGGCAGACTTGAAAATTAATGCAGCGAAAATTCTAGTGGTGCATCGGGGTTAAGTCCTGATCGCGGACAAAGCCAAGAAATCATTGATGCGTGAAATGAGTAATTAATTCTTCACTGAAACAATTCTCCGATGCAGAAAGTATAACCATGGCCCCTCTGCACGCGAGCAGTTTAGAGCTCCGTTTTGACAGCAGCAAAGAGGACCGTCCCCTCGTGCGAGGGCCGGCCCGGGTACACAAAGAGGACCGTCCCGTTGTTCGAGGGTCGGCCCGGGTACACAAAGAGGACCGTCCCGTCGTGCGGGGGTCGGTCCGGGTAAACAAAGAGGACCGTCCCGTTGTGCGGGGGTCGGCCCGGGTACATAAATCTTATGGCGAGGGGGTCACGAAAAAACTGGGGCTACCCCGTCGAAGTGATAGCTTCCGACGTCAAGAACGGCTCTTCATGCAGCGAAGTGATGCTTACCTCACCAATCGTGACCTAGCGGCGCCCAGAGTTAATTTCAGAGCCACGGCGTCCGCGCATCTTCAACAAAAACAGGAAATCCGAAGAAACGGCGACTACCGCAAGAGTTTGGTCCTGGACCAAAAAGTTGAGACACTCTATGGATATGTCAAGAAACCTGTGATTCCTGAGGTGGATTACTTGACCAATGAAGAAGTGGCTACGTTGAGGAAGAAGTCTTTCATGGCTTCCAGCCAGAAGTTAAGCCTATTTGAAGCCAGTAAATCGGGAGTTCTTCGTGATTCTATCCACAGACATTCAAATCTTAAAGCCGCCAAAAGCTTCGGAAATCTTACCAAACTGAAATCCTCCGTCAAGTTAGAAATTCATTCAGACACTAAGAGTAACCCATCCAATTTGAAATCCGCCTTAAAACTGAGCAAGTCAGACACAAGGTTGAACTCAAAACTGGAAGTTCGTTGGGATTCTGATTCTGAAAGCAGAACAGAAGCGCACAGTTCATGGCGTTCTGACTCTCCAAGGCCAGGTTCTAAAGGAAGCTTCTATTGCAATGGTAACAAATCTCCGTCACTGAGCCGTAATAAAGTTGGCGTATCTAAGTCGCTGCAGAAGACTTCGAGCTGCAGCAGCAGCAGCAGTCCATTGTTCGTTTGTAAGCGCAGCTCGTTGTGCTACACCTCAGCAAGAGCGTCCAGTTCACCTGCCAAGAGAATTTCAAGACACTTCATCCCGAGAGCCAAAATCAGAAACTTGTCCTCGCCCAACGCTACTCCCAAGGTAATTTCCTCGTATTCTCACTGTTGTTTAAATTTTTTAGTGTGTGCGCAACATTCTTTTTATTATTTAAACTGTTATTCATATTTATTTATGGAAAAAGTTCAAATGATAATGCAAAACCTGAATTGCTTGCTGTAATTTTCAAGCGAAACAAAAATCTCAAATCATTTGAAGTTATCCTCGTGCAGAGCATTCTATAGAGCTTAACGCATAGTAAAATTAACTGTTTATGATGCATATTTCTCGGGCATAAAACTGACCTCGCACTTCGGGGACGCTGTGGCGTGAACAAGTGACCTTTATAGGGGATGCAGGGGTGGCCTTGTCTTCCCCAGCCTCCTCACTCATGTTGGAAGGATGCGTGGCAATTGTACACAACTAAATGTAATGCACTGGAATTATAGCCGCCTTATAGTAACTGCATTTCTGTGAGGTTGTCTGTACTAATCCAAGCAAGTCCTGCAACGCGGAAGGATTATAAGTCTTGTGGATAAGTCGGAGTGCCCATAGCCGGATGTCGCCCTCGATCGGCAATTTCTGCGGTGAAGCACCCCAAGCATTGCTTGGGTGCTGTAAAGCCTCGTTGATATGACCGTTGATGACCGTTGATAACCATTGATATGACCGTTGATGACCGTTGATCACCGTTGATATGACCGTTGATATTTCCATCGTTCTTATAGTTGAGCGATCTACTGCAGTGCACGCCTATTGGCTATTTTCATGAACATTAGCGGATTTCGGTCCTGATTAAAGGATGATTTTCATTAATTGTGTACCATAATTAGTTTTATCTCATGATGTGTATCTGAGGCACGTGTTCCAACAATTGTCCCCAAAGTGTCTCGGAATTTATCTAGTAAACTCCCATCCATCTTCGTTGAGTTGTTGATCTTGGGTTTTTGCTCCAATTTTAGCCACCTTGTTATCTAATTTAGTATCAATTGTCAATGGGTGCGAAATTTCAATACATTCTTGCCTAAACCTTATGAGAATCCCCGAAAAATCAGAAAACGAATGAATCGCAAATATTTTTTGAGTGGAGCATAATTTCTCTAACAACGAATTACCCCTAACAGTAAATTTCACATTTACTGCCTCTGCTCACACAAAAAACTAATAAGCCTTATGTGTTCTAGATTAAAAATTATAAGGTTCCTTTGAAAATATAAAAATTACTAGGGACTGTCTCAACTAAGATGGTATCATTATTAGACATTCACGCTAACACGTGATGGTAAAACATGACAGTGATGATCAGTTGTAACCCTGAACAAAACTGTTGTTCCTTTTGTAACTGATTATCGCATGCATGGTGGCGTTAATCGGCTCACAATCTTAAATTCTATTACAGAGTAAACTGAGTGCATATAAATTAGTGTCAAAAGCTCTGGTGTCAAATTTAATTTGTATTGTTGCTACGTAAGTCACCCCTGTTGCATTCTCAAGTCTTCTCACCAAAGTTTGGTGACGCATTTAAAGTGAACAGAATTTGCTTCGCCCAATTTTCACTTGTTAATAAGTGTTAGATTCGCCGATAGACACGCTGTTCATTTTAAGTACGAAAGCGAGTTAATGTATATGAGCGCCGTGTATTGTCTCATTAACAAGAGTTGAAAGTGTTCTGTAATTGCAGTGAATTGTGACAGCCACATTCAGAGTTGCAGCGTCACAGTCGGTGTTGGAACGTTTCCTATAGGGACGTCATTTTGCACAGCTTTCTCCATAAGTGATCTAATTTAGGCAGCCTGTTACCTCATACTAACTCTACTATATGTAACTGAAATTGTATGTTTTTTTGACATAATGATAGTCTCGGTAAGTAATTGAATACAATTAGATCGGAATGAATCGTCGCCCATAAACGCTTGTCGAATAGGCGGTAGTTTGGCTGAGATTTTAAAATCCATAAATTTAATCACATCTGATTAAATTTATTGATTTTAAAATCTCGGTCAAACCGGCGTTATGGCTTGTCTACTGTAATTGAAATCTACGTAGTATGTGAAGTATAAACAATACGAATTATTTTTGACGAAATTTACAAATTTTTCCTAGTGTGTAGTACGCAGGCTATTGTGCGTAGCCTATAGCTACATATCGCAGTTTGGTTCTAGTGGAAAAAATTGAAACGTGTTTGCTAGCATCATGCACAAGTTGCCACAGACACACCCATCATCATCCATGATAATGACGCGCCTCTATCAGCCTCAGAAGCCTCTCATCTTCTTCACAGTAACCAACATCGCATGCCTTGTCTTACCGTACAGCACGTAAATGGTAGACGTTGCGTGGTGTTGTTGTGTCAAGGAACTTTACAGCGTTAAAGCATTGCTATGGAGGAAATCATACTAGGGATTAGCCTTGAAACGCGAAACAATATCCGATTCTATAGATCTATTAAATATTGTAAGTCATTTCATTAAAAATAAGTCTTGTAATCTCTATTTTTGAATGTGACTGCAAAGAAACATGAAATTTCACAACGATCAAATCTCGTGCTGCTCCCTGACTAAAGAAGTTAATGAAGCCTATAAAAGCTGCCCAAAATTTATTAAGCCTTCAAGTTTGAAACTCTTAGAAATAAAGACTAAAAGTAAATAAAGAAAGAAATTTCAGTAACTTAGTATAAGTCCGTAAGTTTTTTCTATATATTTCATAAGTATTTATCGCCCGCATTATTTCATCAAAAGGTTGATCCGGTACATTTTTTGTCTTCCTTTATAAGGTATATTTATCACATGCTTTCGATTGCAAAAATGTTTCCTGTTTCTCGCTTTGTTATCACGAAATCTGTCCTTCGTGCAGCAACGGATTCCTTACCGCGCCTGCAGAATTGTTCCGTGATCAGGCGGTTGTGCGAAGTTTCTCTCTCGTCATAATAACATCCATTACAATAGCAGGAACTTGGCAACAAGCCTCTATGATGGTAATACTTATCATCCTTCCAGACGACGCGTGGTGGCCATTGTTATCTCAGCGATTCATTTGATTTTGTCACTACAGAAGTGGGTATACTTGGAGTACAATTAGATTATGTTTGGATTTTTGTATTCATCATTATTATTTGCTTGTAATTTATTACAAGTGCAAATCCATCTTGGTGCGCTATTGTTTTTCAGCTATTAATTCGATCATAGCACAACGAACTGTATTGCAATCGTAGCACAAATCCTTCACTACAACGTGATTCCGTATTATCTAAGGTACCTATCGTTTTAGAATGCTGCATGCATGGGTATTGAAATTCTCAGTCGTTATCGCCTTACGATTTATACGTTTCTCACGCGTTATGTCTCTATATATTTTCCTTTCTATACCTGGCGTTTGCTATAAACTTAATCTTCGCGGCAACCATCATCAAATAAAATAAAGTTATTTTCATGCTTTTATTCGCAGTCTGTTTTTCTTATACATATTCTGCATGTATGTATTCTTATACATATTTCTTTCTATATACACATTCTGCAAATTCAGCCTTTTTTCGCTATTCTTTCGCTAACATGGGTTACTTCACAGAACCATTTCTCGGACGCGTTCTGCTAAAATCCGTCGAAATTAATTACGCGATCCTTATGGTTTAAATATTCGTATGTGATACACTGCATGTAATTTAATAATAAAAAAATATTTATTAATACTGTGTTCGGCGAGTGTGAGAAAAATGCCCCTCATGTGCACTACTTATCACCTTATTTATTTCAATCTTTATCATGCAGCATGCTTCGCTCCTAAAGATTTAACTTTAATAATATTGTTTTTTCGCGCGTTTTATTAAACTGCCCTGCAATAACCAAAATTTCTCATTCAATAAATTTAACATTATGTGGCTCCAGCTCTATCTTTTTCATTCCGCGTTGTTATTAAACACCACTCATTTTTGTTATCTAACTGAACGGCTGCGTGCAGCAAAACCTATTATATGATGCAGTAGAACCTTTACGTGGTGAAGCTTAAAATTTTCTGCATGCTGGAGCGTGAATTTGCTTAATATTGACAACAATAAGTTTCAATCAATCCATACAACAAGCACTGAACTAACATGTGCAACAAAACAGACATGTTTGCGATAAATTATATACACCTAGACCTATACTCTCAAAAAAGTTTAGAGATCGTAAGTTCATCAGCCAATCATTGACGGCCTTTCAAGCAAAATCCACCAATCATAGACAAGAAAATAGAGCGTAAGTACTTACGTTCACTTAGCGAGTTTTGAAAGAATGGCCCCTGGACGTACGGCATATTCGTTATAACAAAGTAATTATTTTATTGCTTCATCGGTCAGCATAATAATAATAATGATAATTACATGTTATCTTAACATTTAACAATAGAGAAGTTAAGGGACAATAACCGGAAGACAATAGTCAGAGAAAATCGCTTCCGAGCGTCAATTCACAGCCCGTTCCTTCAATATACCGGCCGATGCTCCTTATATGCTTATAATGTATGTTAACTGCGTATGTTTGTTAATGGTGCTAACGATTCCGTAATTTATGCGCTGTGAATATATTGCAATTAAATATCTGTTCACATCTAGCGTGAATTTGTTTACATTGCTAACGAATACATTATACAGTTAACTTTATCGGATAACTTGAATTCCTTGTTATAAGAACGCTCAAGCAGATCATCTTAGCCATTTTTTTAGTCTGATGAATTATTATTATTTCGCTTTTTCTGGCTAATTTGTTAAATGAACTTCAGTAAAGACATGCAGTGGTTTAGATGTGTCGAGCTTACTTTACGATGTAACTGACCTCGAAACGTTATCGTATTAATCAAGCACAATGATCGAGTCGATGTTTGAGGCGAATGCAAAAGTTAAATCGGAAATGCCAATTAGTTTTATTCGCCTGCATCCCTTATTGAAATTTGTCGTAGTACTGTTAAGCTTGCGGTCAGCATTTTCGAGCACAAAATTTTCGAGACGATTAACACAAAGCAAAACAAGAGTATCTGAACATGAGACACATTTCCTTGGGCATGACACTTTT